CTCATAAATATTAGTCTTCAAAAGTCCTAGGGACTATAACGAAGACGGAGAGAGAAGTGGATCAAATCCTTGTTGCGTACCGCCAGCGAGAATACTTATCACACACGAATAGATGCCCCTTTGTTTTAATTATGTTCGTTTGTTTGAGACGCCATTTGTGATTTTTGAAAGTCCTGACTCGAAAAAAGGTATTGCTGGTATGATGTGGTCAAATCAATTTTTCTATGCTATAACTGCATAAAATATTGGTGTTTTGAATGTTGGTGTAATCAGTGATATTTTCGCTGTCAGGTGAGACTATATTCAGCTATATTTAGTTTTTCTGAGCAAAATTCTCGCAATGATCGTTTTAAGACAAGAGTTATATTATTTTGCCGTTGGGATTAGTTCTGGTCACAGCCCTTAACTTCTCATCTTTGAAAATCTGTTGAAATTGTTTAAAGTGTATAAGTTATACATGTACAAGTTAAGAATTTATTACTGAAACCATTTTATAGTATTTTTTATTGCAAAAAGAAAGTACTGTCTACAATCTATTTATTCATTAACCCATTACATATGAAGTTTTTTGAGCTGGTGAAAAATCAAAACATTGAGCCATTCGATATTGTTGCTTATTACATAGGTATTTTATAATTATTAATCTATCTAGTATGTTTAAAGTATTGTAACATTGTACCTCTTTCCTATTTTTTTCCCCATCAATTTCAAATGCTTGACATAGACATCCGACTTTTTCATCAGGACAAAAAATTTATTATTCAAGTTCTATATTGTTGATCTATTTTAGTATACCTCCCACGTAGTATATGTTCTTGACTATATTATATGTTGATAGTATGTCGTTTTTTATGCCAAAATTTGCAAAGACATTTATTTTAATTCGCAGTTAATTAGCGCGTTTATTGCCTGTGTCTTATGCTAGTGTCTTAATGTAAAAAGGCTGTATTCATTAGTCAAAAGGTTGCATGCTTTTTTTGCCATTTCTCGATTTGGTGTTAGGAAATCATTTCCTTACAGAGGTATCATGGCATATGTCAGACACATCTCAATGATCAAGGTCCTTGCACACCTGAGGTATGCGCATGTGCGAATGGAGGTACTCAAAATCACGTGTGAAGAAGACGATGGCACAGTCCGCGTACGCTGGAGAGTTAAAGGCATTGGTGGCATTAGAATCATGCTGACCTTCTGGAAGCTCAAACTGTGGAACTTGAAACAAGGAATCGAGGACAATTCAGAGTAAGATTACATCGTTTAAAACAAGTGCCGCGGAGCGACAGTGCTCATCTAACGTCTACTGCGGTGAATCTGTGGTGGAGTGGTGGGATTCTAGTAAACCCTGTTAGTCCCAAATGTGTTCACATACACGCCGAAACAGTGGAATGCACAGGGATGTTATCAGGAACCTTCTCAAAGGAATGTTCGTTGGGATTGTTATAAAAGTTGCCACGAGATGGCGCGTACGTTTAAGTGTCTTCAGATTAAAGATGGAAGCTCCCATCGTACGTAGTAGCAACAACTATTTGCAAGACAGAATAGGTAAGCACTCATCCATTTACCTACGCAAGCCTACAGGCTGCAATAGAGAGCTGCCACCTGTAACTAATTAATGCAAGCAAAAACTACACAGTACCACCACCACATGCACTGGCAGTGGCATGTAAAATAGTGACAGTACAGAATGCCATCGAAATTATACGATTTAAGGAGCATAAACCTTCTTCAACCAAAGTTAGCTTTAAAAATTTCACTGTGACATTGTAG